AATCAAAAGTCGATAAAAAAGAATACAAAATAGAAGCAGAGCAAACAAGGACCTCCAAAACATCAGAGGTGGGTGGGGTCAGATGCCAGGGAGGAGTGAGTACGCGTCAGAGAAATTTGTCGTCAATTCAGTGTATTAAATAAAGGACTAATAATTAGCATGAAAAACATCAGTCAGTATTTGACCCAATGAAAAATTATATTTGCTGACAAGGTCATTGTATAGACCACGGAACTTACAAAATGATGACTTTAAACGATATTGGTGATATTCTTGTAACGTCAACTTGTTTGACAATAATTTTCTTTAATCAACCACGTTTTAAAAATTGTTCAGACGTAGCTAGAGCATGCTCCTGTGTATCGAATCAATTGAGATACCTTAACTCCGTATGCAGGTGATTAGGTTATATTACTGCATACGTAAGGGAAGTTGACGATAGATAAGCAAAATTCCTCACGTTTATCACAGACCATTTTTGAAATATTATCTGTCTTTCAAATTTGATACGTAAAGCTGCTTATCATTTACCCTATATTTTTTAAAGAACATTAAGATTTACTTATCGCATAAAAATGTAGGATACACAGTCCGTTTTTAGCTCTACTGGTCAGAGACCAGAAGAGTTAATGCGATAGTAATGTGTCCGGCGTCCGTCCGTCTGTCTGTCTGTCCGTCTGTCTGTAAACAATTTTTCAAAACGCTACTCCTCCTACAATTTTATTCTGATTTCAATATTACTTGGCACACAAGTAGACTACACAAAGATACATAGAATAGTGTATCGGTTTTTAATTTCGATGAACGGCGTTGCCATGGTTACTAAAAATAGAATTTTCTGTGAAATTCCTTTAAAACGCTACTCCTTCTACAGTTTTGGTCTGATTTCAATATAACTTGGCACACAAGTAGACTACACTAAGATACATAGAATAGTGCATCGGTTTTTGATTTCGATAAACGGTGTTACCATGGTTACTAAAAATAGAATTTTCTGTGAAATTCCTTTGAAACGCTACTCCTACAGTTTTGGTCTGATTTCAAAATAAGTTGGCACACAAGTAGACTACACTAAGATACATAGAATAGTGCATCGGTTTTTGATTTCGATAAACGGTGTTACCATGGTTACTAAAAATAGAATTTTCTGTGAAATTCCTTTAAAACGCTACTCCTTCTACAGTTTTGGTCTGATTTCAAAATAAATTGGCACACAAGTAGACTACACAAAGATACATAAAATAGTGCAATGGTTTTTGATAAGTACAAACCAGTAGAGCTACAGTCTCGACAGAGACTTCTGGTTTCATACTTGTTTTGTAATATGTGATGCATGTGTCAGATTTTGATTATTATTTCCTGCAGCATGCAATTACTGAAGGAACTGATAAAACAGTATCTATTTAGTTTTTCATTCGACCATTGTTTTCATCATTCAGACGCATGTCTTTATAACACATAACCAAGCGGTTTGATGATTATGACTCATGTCAATTGTTTACTTGATTTTATTCCAGGCGACAATTAAATGTTCATCAATGTTTGTTTTGTTTCATATAAATGAGAAGGTATCAAGTTTTAATTTTTTTAAGTAAATGTTGATTTCAACTTGTTTTACGATGATATACAATATTGAGAAATAAAGGACAGTTCATGGTGAAGTTCATGGTCTGTTGGTTCAAGGTTTAGACTCATACATTGGGCTTTTGGTCAAAAATAGTCTTGGATTCAGCATTCAGGTCCCTAAAAGACACTAAGTTGGTAAAAAAAATGCATAAGCTCCCTCTTTTTTCCTTAAAAACTTTTTGTTAAACATGTTTCATTGCAGTCAAACGTATGATTGCATCTCTCTCGCGAATTTTTCACTAATATGGAGACACCACCGCTGGCTTGTGGAAGGCTAAAAAGTTTGGCATATACTCGGCACTTGTGAACATTGAACAGTGACGGATCGTTCTCATGCAAAGACCAACTGAGACACGGAACCTCTTCTTATAGAGTGTCATTCGAAGGACTCTTCTCCATTTCGCTCAATGGGATACGAATCCAAGAATTGAAGAAAGGATCAACTCTTTTTCTTGATCCCTACGGAGCATACACTATTAACCACTGCGCCACGTGTGGGCGACTTTGGAATTTTAAAGGCGGACAGTGACACTGACGTCGGCCTCTATTGACGTCATAAACACTGTTTTCCTGAATTATCAAACATAGATATAAGACTTTTATCATTTTTGGCGTCATACATGTACATATAAACGGGGTTGCTTTTGCATAATTTAATTACCCTTAGTTTTGTACATTTCTATATAAATATACTACATGTACATAGGGGGATTTTTTTGTAGAAACGTCGTCGCATCTAAATAGTTCTGAAACGACTTGTGCAAACAATTTATTCATTTATTTACAATGACGTGCAAAATACATATGTATATTTACATCTTTGCAGACTACCATAAAAAATTTGTTGCCAGCTTTAAAAGTGTTTGGACACAGTTTTGAAGTAAATATTATACAAATATGGACTCAATGTAGGTCAATATGCATTTATAATGACCCAGGATGACAGATATTGACCGAAGATACATGTAGTATATCGACCGAGGGCGCTAGCCCGAGGTCGAAATACTTCATGTATCTGAGGTCAATATCTGTCTCCTGGGTCATTATAAATGCATACTGACCGTGCATTGAGTCCATATTTATTATATTATATAAATAATAATTTCCCAAATTTATTAATGCAATGTATATCATCCTATTATTTACAGAGATAGTATTAACCATAAATAAGTTGAATGTAAATGTTTTAGAATTTATTGAATATAAGAGGAAATTGTTTCGGCATAAATTTCCCATATCATAATAATGACGCAAGATATCTATCTCCGAATAACATAGAGCACCCCCTCCCACAGATTGAGAATCGCTCTCGTTTACACTTGCAGACGAAATGCACTGACAAAATATAAAATACCTAGTATGTCTTCTAAGAATAGATACAATCTTACATGGCATGCTTGTCTATATTTTCTTTAGTCTCCGTAATCGCGTAAACAGCGTCAAAACTCTGCTCGCTGAGTGGAAAGGTCGAACTCAACCATGAAATGGTATGTGCTAATTATTCCCGAAAAATATTCACAAATACCCTAGTAATTGGTTTGTATTATCAGTCTCAGAGTTCTTCACTATATGTTTTAAATTTTCCTCACCTTCAACTTGCGAACTTCCATGTTTGTCTAAAGTGAAAGTGAAAACGAGGCAGCTCGTGCGAGTCATTATTCGCTTTCAGCGGTCGTTATTAAAAAATAAGTACTTCGTATTGACCAATCAGATTACCGGATTTCACAAAGTTATATAATATTTTCTCATAATTTCGGTATAATATAATTACTAATCTTATATGTTTCTATAGCAATCCACATGGAAATACTGTAAAAGAACAAATATTTGTGGGGGATTAAATTTTGTTTATTTTTCTGTCTATAATTATCAACGCAATTTAATCCCACACGAATACCGTATAGTGGGTAATTTTAGCGGTGTGCTAATTTTGGCTTATTTTGGCGTTTTCATGTAAGCCTGCTAAAGTTTAAATCGCTAAAATAGTAAGTTCTCGTCTAAGTGTTCTGCAAAGATCTGAAACTGTGTCCGCTTTCAGCAGGTAATACGCCAAATTTTACACCCGACAAGAAAACCCGCTATGCGGTATTTTGAATGGATTTGCAAACAACGAACTTAAATGCCCTCGAAACTACTTTTAATGACAAATCAACGACATTTTGTCCTCACAAAGTTTTGTGCTTCTAAAGTATACTTAAAAACAAACATCTGTGAAACGTTAACTGTTTGTGGTTATCAGGACACGAGTTATGTTATGGTTAATGTTTACGCTTCACCGGGTGTACTCAGTTTGTTAAAGTCTGCACACATCACTGACCAAGGACTGATAATACTAATGAATTGGTTTTGTTTTCTCACTTTTCTACTGTATATTCTGGATAGTTATTTGAATATATTTTATTAATACACAACCTAATTTATTATCTTTCTTCAGTATTAAGAATAAAGTTAGCTTTATGGAAGAGCAAGCGCGTCCCGAAATTCGTGGTTTAAATTATTTCCAGAAAAGATACATATTTTATTACCGGTATGTTTCCGTTTGAAAATGCTATTAATAGCAACATATATCATATTATAAAGCCATGATATTATACAAAAAAAAAAAAAAAAAAAAAAGCTTCAATTCTGTGCCCTAGGACCTTACCTTGAATGAATGAATCTCGCTTGCAATAAATCAAAAAAAGTTTTAAATCTACATTGATTATTATGTTACAGAAATAATATTCAAATTTAGTGTAAAAAAATTGATATATTGAACACGCGCATATTACTGATGATTAACTAGTACCATTTACATTATGTTAATAGATAATGACAAAATAATGAACAATCAAATAGAAAATGCGCCTGGCTATTTATCTTAAAATAATCTTATCAAGAAAATGCTGTTGAGTCCTAAGTATAAATTTCAAATTTTTAATATTTACAGTAAAAGATGAAGAAAACTAACTTATTTTGCTTTTAATCGTATTATTATAATGACATTGTAATAGGAAAATGATTACATTTGTTGAATTCATAATACTGTTTGAAGAAAATTAGTTATATTGAACAAAATGAATAATTTTGACACTCTATAAATTATTTACATTATAATTTCAATTTCAAATAAATGTATTGCAATATACTTACAAATTCAGAGTAATACATGTAAAATTTATACTTTTCATTTAAGGTTAGCTTGAATAAATGAAATGAAATCTGAACTGTAATTATAACTCTAAATAAATACACATGAGGATACACAGCAAAAATATAAAAGAAATGTTCCTTGAATATTAGCAGGATTTGTATCAAATTAAACATTACATTATCTTTTTTGCAAAGGATGAAATTTTTTTTTTCAGAACCAGAATCTCGATATACCTTGTTTTTCAAAATTATGCATGGTTTGCTTTGAACAAGGCCGTAACTATTTACCAGAATTTGTTCCTACTTTCATGACGTCACTTTCACTGATAAAAAAAATCTTGATTTTCATCTGTAACGCTTTTTTGGCAGTAAAATCCAATCTCATAATAAAATTGTCTCTGAAAAGTTTGCCTTATTTCTGTAATCACTCTCCACTGTTTTTTTTTTTATTTTTACGACTTATTTGAACCAGAATTGCATCATTTTGCGTTTGTTAATATCATGCGGAATTCGTAGAACATGTTTAGGACACGGTCTTATTTCTTTCCCAGTAATTGTTTTCATTCCTACAATTTGACTTTCACTCAGAAAATACTCGTCATCCTCATCTGTAATGTCTATATCTGTACAAGAAAACCCCCTCTCATATTCAATGTGTCTGTGAAAAGTTTGTGTTATTTCGTTTATTAGACTTTCCACTGTATCTCTGATCTGTACGACGCAATCAGACTGTAGATTCATATCTTTATCTGCAGTAAAAACCTGTAACTGGATTGACGTTTTGTTAACAGCAATTGCAATGTAATGGCTAGCATCTTCTACCATGTAGAATGCTGTATCTTTACAAAACAACGCCATATCAAGTGCCTTCCATTTCCTAAAGCAGTTTACAACCAGCCGAAAGAAGAAAAAAATGAGGCAAGTACGTTTTGAAATGGAACACCATAATGGATGTTTTCTGTCCATTGTTGATAGCAGCTTTACATTTATCAGTAAGTTCGGTTCTGTTCAAGCTCGGAATGTAATATGTTTTACCGCTAGGATCATCCTGAATTTCTGTCATTAAACCAAGTTTGTCCATGTATGGTAAAATTTCATCTTTATGCTGAATATAAGAGCTGTCTCTAGAATATTCCCATATCTCTCTCAGTTCCGATTCAGTTATTCTTCCTGTGTTAATCAATTTATTTTTGCTCCTTATTCTAGCTAGATGTTTTTCATCAGTTATGATGTACTTGAAAGCATCAACAAACCACTGAACGTCAACAATTATTACATTTTTCATTTTGTCTTCAGCAAAATGAACGATTTGACCTATTTCGTGTAGGAACCGAAGGCCATCATTTAGATCTTTATCGCTAGGTGAATCCACATTGTTTAATTCTTTTATTTCTTGTACTGAAATAACTTTCTTTCCTTTCTGTTTCATTTGAATCAGAGTTTTCTCAAGATTTGCCCATTTCAGAGGAATTATCTCTCCCCACTGTGGCATCTTTTCTACAGTTTCTACTATACATTTTCTGAGGCATTCAATTGAGTCCTGTTGTTTTGGTGACAATTCATTTGGCGGACATTCGACGTTAAAATATCTGTTTGGAGATATAAGATGTTTCAAAGATTGTTCATCAGATAAGCAGTTCTCCAATTTATCGTAGAACGTTTTCGGCAGATCCTCATTCTGTTTGAAAAATAATTTATAATTATTGTGCTTTCAATATTATCTTTAAAAAAATTATCAATAAAAATAGCTAAAGAATGAAAAGTGGAACCAAGGGCCTTAACAGTTACCTGATTATGATAATACACTGTAAACAATCAATAGAAGTGCTATACAACTGATAGATGAAGCTACTGTAAACATACTACATTTGGCGTTTCATTCTATTTAGCGATTTTGGCGAAAAGCAAAATCCACAAAATCAAGTACATCGCAAAATATCTTATTAATTTTACATATACCTCTACATCTAGCACATTTAGATGGCACTAAAGCAAACCTTCACTAACTTGCTAAAAAAAATGAATTTCCATAAAAAATCGTACACTCCAAGTATAATATATGTACCGTATATTGCCCAAGAAGTTTCCATGCTAATTGTATAGATGACACCCTAACGATCTTCTTGGAATCACTCCTGATTTGCTGATGTCTTACAAGGATGACCACAAGACGAAAGACCACCTTTAAGCAATTGTTTAATGGTAGCTTAATGGTGACTTAATAGTGGCTTAAAGGAGTTAATTCCTTTAAGCCACCATTAAGCCACCATTAAACTGCAACTTACAAGTGCTTAATGTCCAAACTTCATAAAGCTACCATTAAGCCACCTTTAAGCTGAGCTTAATGGTGACTTAATGGTCAAACCTCATAAAACGTTTACGCATCTTTGAACTTATTTTTTAATTTATTTCCATATCTTTTACGTAAAATCTATTTCAACTCATAGTTTTCTCTCCGTCGTAATTTCTATCTAATATTTTTGTCAACATGCATAAACAATGATAATCACGGGCACTGAGAACAAAGTTAACTAATAGCCACAAGGGTTTGCTCCCGGTGTCTAATACATGTAATTATTTATTTAAAAAAAAATAATTTATAGTACTAATAAATCAAGACATGCTTTATTATTACCTATATGATTTTGTCGTGGTCGTAATTTCTATATAACATTTTTGTCAACACAAACTAGGGCACTGAGAAAAAAGTTAGCTAATATAGCCACAGGGGCTTGCTCCCGATGTCTAATAGTTATTTTTAAAAAAAATAATTTACAGTAATAATAAAACAAGACACGCTTTATCATTACCAATATGATTTTTTTTTAATTAATAATCATTACACACGTTGTTTTTATTATTTGTGTATATGATTTTTTTTTTACACAAATAATTATTACACGCCGGAAGCAAGCCCCTGTGGAATATCTTAATTTTTCACCACCGAAAATCAATTTGTTCTTTAAATTATCTTCATCCATTAACACAATATATATATAACTTTTTTAAAAAATAAAGATGGCATTTTTATTTCATGTGTTAAAAGCAACAGAATATAAATTAAAGTCAAATGTTCTAATGTAAAACAAAAACTTTTTTTTTAATTTTTATTTATTTTTTTTTTTTTGGGGGGGGGGGGGGGTTAAAAATGTTTAGTTTTCAAAGATTGACTTCTACATCATGAATAATTTGAATTAATACATTATTTCTTTTTATATAATGCAGCGGTAAGTATCTGTCAAATCTAGTCGGTATTCAATGTTTGTTATTTCAAAATCCGATCAGATTAAACATGACATCCGTGATCAGACCAGATTTATACACTTTGGGAAAAGGGGTAAGATTAAGTAACAGGAAACTATACATACACAACGTACACCATGGTACACAGACAGATTTTGATGATCAATTATTTTTTACAAAATTTATATTTTAAATTTAACGCAAGCATATAACAAATTAAAAATTATGATTCATTGTAAAAGGACAATTATTTTGATACTTATTTTGATACAAAAAGAATTTAAACTGAATATGATATTCTACCACAATTTTAGTAAACATAACCAGGTTACTCGTAAATGAGGAATGTCACTTTATTGTAGACACAAAAACAATCAAAATCCGCAGCACATTTAAAAATAAAAGAATCTGTTTTGTTTAATCTTTCCTCTTCAATGAATGATTTTTGTGTTTTATATATAATTAATTTAAATTCAATCATGATTTAATGCTTACATGCATAAATCTTAGAATAACAGATCGAAGAATTTATTACATCAACCAAAAGGCCGAACTCAACGGTTATATATGAAATATTTATGTGATATAAGCCTTTTTAGAAAGATCCATAAATAAAATTGTTTATATTTTAATCAATAAATCAATTCAAGATTTTGGAAACGTTCAACAAAATAAATACTTTTACATGTCCAAACAAATTTTTGTGAAAAATAAAGGTTAAATATTTTCTATTAAATTCAAAAGCGGCGATAGCCTAATGGATAAGGCGGCTGTCATGTACTTGAAAGGTCATGGCTTCGCGCCCCGTTTGTGGCCATTTTTTTTATGAATTTCGTTCTTTTTCATTATTTTTGCCAAATCAAGATATGTGTGAACTCGACATTTATAATTTTGATAACAAATCACTATAAAATTTTTCACCCATAAAAACAGCATTTTCGACTGCGCAAATGGTGGCTTGATTGTAGCTAAATGGTAGCTTAATGGAGTCTGGACATTAAGCGCCTGTAAGTGTAGCTTAATGATGGTCTAAAAGCTACCATTAAGGTCTTGTAAGCCACCATTAAGCTACATTTAAGCACCCATTATGGACTTTGAGATGGCTTAATGGTAACGTAATGGTGGCGTAGATGTTACTTAAAGGTGTTTAATGGTGACTTAAAGACAACCATTAAACCATCATTAAGGACCTATAAGCCGCCATTAAATCAGGATTAGAGGGTGTGCTTCATATTGTGGACAAAATATACTAATAAAAATTATGATTCTCTAATGTAAAGGGTGTTAAGAAAATTCGTTCTACATTTTTCTTTTTAATACTTTCGAAAAGAAATACGATGAAAAGATATTTACAATTTGTTATATTTTATGTTTACAGAGTTCATTATTGCTACTGATAAGGTTTTAACTGTCTTTTGTTGAATCAATTAGGGGAGGGCAATTATTAAAACAGATGATGTCTGTTCAGAAAAATCATAGATGACGTACATTTTTGATATATATTAGGCACACAGGTCAAAACACTCTTTCAAATACTATGCAAAAATTATCAAATCGGTGGAAAATTTCAAATAACAAACCTATAACCTTTTGAAAAGTGTTTTATCGTTGTTATACCTATGCTCATCAGCTTGTCTGATGCAAGATAAGCTATGAAGAAACAAAAGTAAATTTTCACTCAAAATGACAGCATTTCTATCATTCCGACGCTTTAACGATTTTATACATATATTCATATGGAAGAAAAATCCTATAATTTCAAGCTAGAAATGAATTGTTTTAAATCTAAAGCACACTCTTGTGATTTTGTCAGACTTGAAAATTCATCTCTTTAGTTGAGCAATACATGTACTTTGAAATTTTTGAAAATATTTCAGCATGGAACGAACTTTCTTAACACCCTTTACAATGTAAAACATCTGATATATACAGATATGTTTTATTCATTTGTTTAGTGCATTAATTTAGTCCTCAATGTCCTATAAAAGATTACAACTAATGAGTAGAGAGCAGAGTGGGACTTAGTGCCAGTGAGGAGTGAGCATTCCCTTCGACCAAGTCATACCTGCCATGTGCCTTTTGTCATGTTTGTGTAAACGGATAAAGTCGAATATAAGGATCACGAAGCCTTTGTTTATTAAGCATCAGCACACTAATTTTTGTGTTGATAGTTTTGTAGGATTTGTATTGATTTCTTACCACTTTGTCTGCATGGGAAGCAACAATGATAACAGGATAAAGACGGGCTATTGAATCCGTATTTTCGTGGATTGTGTGCGTTTTTCCAACATCACAGTATGTCTGTATGGATTGCAACCAAAAATGAAAATAATCTGAAAAGATCAATAAGATATGTATGAATGATTTAAAGGAACTCCAACATCAAAGACTACGATCGAATAATATATACGAGTACAGTTCGTATTCTTAAATTTAGTGTTTAGCTCATTATGAATTTTACCTGATTATTACCGTTATTGAAAAAAATCACTTTACTAATGTTCAAAGGAATAAACTCATCTTAGAATATCTTTATTTCATGTGTTATTTAGTTCTATTATACCTCTACTGAATTTTTCTACATAATTCAATTAATTTATTAGATGGTTGTTATTTATTTATTTGAAATTGCTGTAGACTAATATGTGTGCATAATTAAGAAGATCTTATCCCTGATCGAAAGGTAATTGCTGGTTATCTGTGATCCACTTCATTTATCTTTTGTATAATTCTCATGACTTTCCAATATCATTGTTTGCAGGAGTAAAGAATATTTTGATACAGTCGAAAAATTAAATCTCAATATGATGGTTGTTTATAAACATTAATACATTCAAATGTTAATTTTGTATTTTAGCAAGACTTAAAAATGTAGTCGCTCATGTCGGACGTAAAGACCAGTCCAAGTTTTTTTTCAACGTTTAGCATCTAAAACCTATCTTTCTATCCAATTAATCTCCGCACACATCTAAAGGGAAAGACAATATTTTAGGGAAAATAGTAGAAATTTTAATCTTCATTTAAGAATTATTATCGCGTTGTAACTTCTACTCGTAAACTACTACTTAATTGAAACAAACATAATTTAGTACACAACTTGAAATTATGATGCCGATGCTAAAAGTGTATAATTGCGTTTCAAAGATTAATATTTATCGATATTAATTTGTGTTTGTTTATAATTTCTTGATTTGAAAAACAACTTGTCCCCTGACTATAAACATAGAAAAAAACTTGGAATGGCCTAACATTGCAGTCAACATGAGACTTATTTAAAATGTTCTTTGTTGTCATAAAACTTATTGGATTTAATCATCACCTATAGCTACGTATATGTCAATCACTTTGAACTATTCAATCACAGAATAATCATTGACAATTTGATTTACACAGAAATATATTATTTTTATTGGTGAAATAGACACTTTCATCTCTTTCTTATTGAAACGTTTTTAAGAGAAATGATAAAGGGTACGTCAAAATTGCTACTTTATTTGGTCTTTACCTTTTTATTACGACAACAAGAAACAGCAAATAAAATCATAAATAAAGAAATAACTGTTTAAACCTTAATGCCCTATACATGTACATGTTTTTTTATTTATTTGCCAATAGTTTTAATCAGATATTTAGCGATTCAGTTTTTTTATGTGAATGTAAAGGCTGTATTTGTGAAAAGTATAGAGGAAACATTCTACGAGGGGCATTTCAAAAGTCCTGAGAACTGTTTAATAAAAAATTAACCGTTTCTCGAAAATTATTGAGTTTGGTATCATTGGAAAGATAAGAAAAATATACAAATATTATTACGTCACTTTATAATTTTTATGACGTAATATCTCCGAAAATGACGTCAGGATATAGAATGTTTAGCATACTGAAAACTCGCGTTTTTATCCACATGGCACAATTTTAAAAGTGCTGCCAAAGGCTTATTTTAAAATATATTTGAAAGAAAATTTTCATTTGCAAAGAAGTTGAGTAGGACTATGGTACTGTTTATCAACAATACTATATTTCATCGTTTTGTTCGTTTACTAGCGCGGTTTATGTCCGGTTATGCTACCATCGACATTCATCCAATATTTTAAGTTACATGATACGACTGGATTTTCGGTCTTTTATATAGTTCTCCAGTGTATGAAATAAAACTTTTTCTGTATAAAACTAAAGTATATTAATGCAGCTTTCAACAAATATATTTTGAGTAACATTACTCTTGCCGTTTACAAATAAAATGCACAAAAGTTTTGCCCCTGACTTGTTTCTGTACGTATTTTTTCTCATTAATTCAACTTCGGTGCCCCTAAAACTCAGTACTGCTTTTGACTTTTGACTCCAGAAAAGGTTTATAAGTTACACAGACATGTCAAATCTTATTTAATTTCCATGAATTAATTTTTGCGAATATGTGGAGGTACGGTGGGATTTCAACTGCGCCCGCGCCATTTTGGATTTTACGAGAAAATATGGGGCACACTAAACTTAACTTCTCTTAAGCCTTCATCGATCCCACAAATATAGTTAAAACACCTGACGAATTGATGCCATGAAATTAAGTAACACGATCATTTTTTTTTTTGATTGTCAACTTTGCATTATTCTCACAGTTGGGTCTGTTTTACGCAATATTTTGAGCAAGATTCGATAAAAACTTGCAATGTTTGACAATCGCTTAAACCATTTCAGAACAAGATGATCTCTATAATAGACCACCATATGATAGATTGTAGTCTATGTAAAGATTCTACCAACTGTCATTTACGTCCGATAGCTTGCACCCGAGTAATGAGCAAAAATTGTTTTTAAAATTTTACATTGATTAAATTGTGTCGTTTGTTACGTCATTTTTATGGTCAGTATTGTAAGTATGCGGAAGTTTGACGTCATTTTTGGAGTTATTACGTCATAAAAATTATAAAGTGACGTCACAATATGTGTGCATTTTTCTGCTCTTTCCAATGATACCAAACTCAATAATTTCCGTTAAACGGTTAATTTTTTATCAAACAGTTCTCAGGACTTTTGAAATGCCCCTCGTATAATGTGTAGAATTAAAAGAAGAAAAGCATTGTTCTTTATTTATATATAAATGGTGCCTGTTTTGGGGGATGATAATTGGAATTGACACCCCAAGGAAAACCACTGTCAACCGACGCGTCAGCGGAGGCTGACAATGGTTTTCCGAGGGGTGTCAATTTCAACAGCTATATCCTCCAAAATAGACACCATTTATTTTAATATTATTAAGGTCTTCTGTTTCCAACGGAAGACCTTCTACTGATTCTGATGGGAAAGATTATTAAGGTCTTCCGCTCAGGGTTCTTTAGTATCTTATTGATCTCATGAAAACGTTATTTTGTTCTAGTCATGTTTTATTAGATGAGAAGAAAACTTTATAGTCCATGTACAGGTAAGTGATTTTATACGGCAAGTGAAGAAGAATTCTATATGCGTACGCGTATAACACGTATAACTGAAATTAACTGGATAAAATAATATACCTAGCTAAATTGAATGTTAAACTTTGTTGAAATAAGATTTTTAACGTATTCTCTAGCTGGATGTCATACAGATTATTCAGAGACAACTTTCTCTCTGTGTTTAGTGTAAAGAACAAGACGGGAGAGAGGAAAAATATTTTTAAGTATTAATATTCAATGTAGCATAATTTATTTTAAAAAATATTCAAGCTTAAGATAATTCACTGTCAGTCAATTCATGCATCGTGAATTTTCCTCGGACCCTGAAAGTTTCATGTGTACAGTGTGCGTGTTTTGTGTGTACAGTTATCACATGGTTATGAAACCCGTTTATCTATCGCGCATTGAACTGTATACATTCGTGAGGTCAACATTACCGCTCTTTGATTTTTACTAGAGTCCTAGATTTAAGATCGAGAAAACATGTCATTTGCGCTAATCGTAAGAATATTTCTTTACACAAATTTTAAGGTTTTCTTGAACATGATTTAAAAGTGTTGAATGTCGGATTCTATTCTTTGACGAATGAATAAAAGGTGCTGCGTTTACACGCGCTTTTCTCATCTGCTAAGGTATCTATGGACGAGTTCATCGGTTACACTGAAGGGTGACACAGGATGACCTATCGATAACTCTGCCAATATTGATAGTGATTTTAATTGCACATGTACCACTAACATGATAAATTAATGTTCAATTCTACCCTTGTGAGGTCCATTATAGTCTCATTATTTAAAAAAAATTGGGATATCAATACTGCAACTTGTTTTTGATTTGTGCGGATGATTCTATTATTGGAGAGGTACACACCTAGTACGACGATTTTTTTAGGCCCCGTCTCCCCCTCCACTTTGAAGTAATTGCAATTGTTACATGTATAGGGGCCTATATCAAGTTATTCTAATTGCTTTATATCAGAAAAATTTGCGATGTTGTTTAAATTAGCAAATACCTATAAACATTGCACAGTAAATTGTAAGTGAAAGTGACGTTTCCAATTCTCATGAAAATCGTAAATGAAGCAACTTGGAGATTTGCGTGAATTGATGCATAACTTATATATATGTATTGTACCGAATGTATTCTTTTTATTTCCTCGAATAAAAAGAATATCAATATGATATGATTTTACGGGTACATGATGGTAACTAAATACATGCTATTTTACACGGAAGAGCCCCCAAAATATATACATTCCGAGCTTTCAGAATACGAGAGAAAAAAAATGGATAATTAGAATTTTTTTTAACAAATTCAAAATTGTTTCTGAGAAAGCCATGTAGTTGCATACAAATATTCCAAGCCATTCTTTCGTGTTATTGAAACACGAATAAATCAAATCAAGTCACAGAAAACAAAGACAGGTTGTAAAGCTCACACACCGACACACACACAAACGTTTTGGTAACTCGGAATAGTCCAGAGTAAAACTATATTTTCTTGATGAAGGAATGTCCTGTACATCTAATGTTCACGTCCGGGATAGTCCACGGCGGATCTAAAAACTCTCTCACACAACATACGGGTTTCACTCAAATTTCAATTAACACATTTACGCAATTTACATCATATACATACAAGTCAGACGCTCTTTGATGTAGAGGATTGACACTAATTTCTTAGATAAATACTTAGTGACAAATTCCTTTTTACTATTTAAACTCAATTTGATAGGTTAATAACTTAAGCATATGTCAAAAATAAGCATTAAAAATAATTCTTTTCATAAAATTAAATTTTGTTATAACAATATAAATCACTAGCAGCGCAAAGACAGACTTTAAAAAAAAAATCAGAGGTGGAATCAGGCGAATTAAATCCTTTTATGGCACCACCAACCCCATAACGAG